TATATATATATATAATGTATTTCTTTTTTTTTATTCATGCACTTATATGCGTACACACATGCAGATGAAGTCATTTCTAATAGTTTCTCTAACGTTTTCATTTCTTTTATTCCAGGTAGGAATGAATTGATAGCCAGATACATCAAGTTACGGACAGGCAAAACGCGGACCAGAAAACAGGTGATACATTTACACTTCTTAATTATTTGATGACATTGATGTATTAATTGTAATTGTACGTGCCCCTGATTGTCGGTTTATTGGGGTACAGTCCGGATACCCCAATCTTTGAAATGATGGTGCTGCATAAAAGCTGCAAATTATCGCCCAATTCACCATTTATTTGTCTGATGATTTGCCATGAATTGTATTCCTCTGGAAGCCAATGACACGTTGTGTAGTGGTGAGGAGGTTGGGGCTGTGAGCTCTTCTGCAGCATCGTTGTCATGTTTTCTCTGTGAGGGCTCACCGATTCCAGCGCTGAATGTACAACCTGACAAGTTGTTACATATAGGATATTCTAATTGTATTTTTCTATACAATCAGGAATACCGCGTCCTATCAATTCCTTCTCAGGGGGACAGCTTCGGGGTAAAGCTCCACTCCACCCCAAATTTATTTTTAAAGTGACACTGAACTCCGGAGTTAAGTGATACACAAATAAGATACATTGTTGTTCAGAGTTCAGGGACCGGAATGCATTGTTAAGATTTACTTCTCCCACTGTCACACTTTGACTGACAGCAGAAGGAGCCTATGACTCCTCTGCCCTCAGTACCCTACCCCAGGACCAGGAAGTTCGGAGAAAACCGAGTATCTTCCTGGTCCCGGTGGAGGAGACGACTGTAGTCGGGTCGCTGCAGGTAGGTGTTGGGGGGGTGACAGCACTGCTGTGTGATTCGCTACAGAACGTGCTGTGTTGTCACCCTGTTAAAAGTTAGAAAAATAACAAATCAACAGGTGATAAAACTGTTCCAAGGGGCTTTGCTCTGTTATTGCTATTGACAAACATCAGCAATTGTGTCACCATGTGATGTTTTATTTTGTGTATCTGTACAATTTAATGATGGAGTGATTCAAAATTGGATTGTAGTCGTATGTAAAATGAGTACCTGTAAATGATCTACTGTGACAACTCACAATGCTCACATAACTTATTTTTTTAGTTCCCATTTCTGGTCCGAATATTCTTTGCATTTCTCTGCTTAGTAGTGCCAGCAATACATTAGACAGCAATGCAGAATACCATCAGCTATAGAGAACTACAAATCCCAGCAATGCAGAATAATACCATCAGCTATAGAGGACTACAAATCCCAGCAATACATTACACAGCAATGCTGAATAATACCATCAGCTGCAGAGGACTACAAATCCCAGCAATAAATTAGACAGCAATGCAGAATAATACCATCAGCTGCAGAGGACTACAAATCCCAGCAATACATTAGACAGCAATGCAGAATACCATCAGCTATAGAGGACTACAAATCTCAGCAATACATTAGACAGCAATGCATAATACCATCAGCTATAGAGAACTACAAATCCCAGCAATGCAGAATAATACCATCAGCTATAGAGGACTACAAATCCCAGCAATACATTAGACAGCAATGCAGAATACCATCAGCTATAGAGAACTACAAATCCCAGCAATACATTAGACAGCAATGCAGAATAATACCATCAGCTATAGAGGACTACAAATCCCAGCATTACATTAGACAGCAATGCAGAATAATACCATCAGCTATAGAGGACTACAAATAATAACTAGTATTAAGTAGTAGGAGGACAGATACAGATATTGTTAGTAGAACGGTATTGTTGGGACTGTAGCGCCGCACACCTAGAACATCATTAATATAATTTTAACACAATTTTCAACAGGATTCGTTTTTTCAAGCTGAATCCAATTTGTGTTAATCCTGGGTGAAAGTTGTGTGAATCTTTATTGATTAAACCTTTGTGGTGCACAAGCTGGCTGCTACCAAACTGTAGGTGCCAGGAAGTTTATATATACATATAAAGAGATATATATTATATATACAGTGGTACCTCGGTTCATGAACGCTTCTGTTCGCGAACAATTCGGTTTTCGCGCACAGGATGTTTCGGCAAAATTTTGTTTCCGTTCGCGGACTCCGCATCGGGTGACGAACACAACCGCCGCCATCTTCCCCCGCTCTGACACGTGGTCGCGACCAGAATCCTGGAATGAATTAAGCTCGTGAACCGAGGTACCACTGTATATGTATATATATATTGTATGTGAATAAGATTTCAATCTGTGACACTTGACAGTGGAT